AAAATGTGGCTGCTTTCTCCCATGCAGGTTTTTCTATTTATTTATGGTGATGACACAGAAAAATGTCTACCTATGATCAATCCTGTTTGACGCACTAATGCACTGGCCACAGGCACTTGTGTCACCATAGCTACCTGTGACAAGTACATGAGTGCAACCAGTTGTGGTTTGAAAATTGTGCGAATGCGTTGGCACAAAAAAGAAGATGAGGACGACTGAAGGTGTGGACGCAAGCTGTTTTTGTGCATTCCGTGAGATGTACAAACGGAGTGCATGAAGTTACATCGGAAAACTTCACCACTGATGGACCCCCACACTGGTTGGGAAGAAGCCGAAGGAAGAATGCAACAGGCATGACTGAGATAAGGCTGAGATGTGGCTGAGGTAAGAAGGCTACCAGGACAAAGGAATGGCGGCTGTGTTCCTGTGGCAAGGCGGCTGCAGTCTCCCACCTGGATGTGTTCCAGTGTATTAACCATAGTCTGGTCTTGGCAAGGCTGCTGAAGGCTCTCACCCGGATGTTTTTCTAGTGCAGCAACCATAGTCTGGTCTTGGCGAGGCTGCTCGTCGTCTGGCATTGACTAGTAACTTTCTGACTCCGGTTTCGCGTCCCAGCATCGGAGGACTAATGCCGACAGGTCGCTGACCTTGGTTCACCCGACACTATTTTCCGTCTAAGCAATGCCTTGACCTTGAATGCGTCTCACCGCATCAAGCCTTGCTGTGTGCACGTGTGTCGCAGCAAGGCTTCATGCAAGGTGTGTGTCTCTACAGAAAAGTGACCTCTGTTTGTCATTTCTTCTAACTTGAACACTGTTAACACTTATCTGTCAGCTCCCTAGCTCTGTTAATTATGTCTCTTTTGCATGCTATGTTTTTTTCTTATCATTTCATTTAACTACTCTTATTCGTATATATTGAGTATTGTTTTTTTCTTTTTTTGCACAAATGGTCTTGTCTCTTTTTTATCGATGACGATTTCATCATATGTTTGTATTTACACTAACCCACACGAAAGCATCTTGCTAAATAGCCTCGTGGCACTATCAAAGAGATGAGGCACTGCTGTCTGCTAGAGTTGCGCGCCCACCACACCACAAGTGGTGCTGCACGCGGCTTTCAAGGCGCTATAGGTCCCCGATGAAGTGTACAGGACACTTCTAGTGCATCAGATGGAAGTCTTTTGTTGTCTCCCTCATAATATTCAGTCTCATGCAGCATTTATTGGACAGATAGAATAGTCTCCATGACTTCGACAATTACGCTGCCACCCTTGGAACTCTTTACCAGGCTGAGCCCTCCATAACCACGCTATAGGTGGCTTGCAAGTGACGTCATGGACCCAGCTTCTGAAAGGAACTGGGACTCCACAACTGCGGCTTTGATGAGAAACGCCAATGTGCAAATAACGAGACAGAAATGTCTCTGTGCGTGAATAATGAAATAACCTGTGTGTGATATTTTGGTAACATTACTGTGACACCAGAAACGTTTCGTCCAGAAATGCTGGTGCCCCAACACGGAGCTTTCAGCAACGTCTATGGAGTGCAAGCATGAAGTGTTGCACTCAGGCACAACACACCAAAGCTGAGTCTTTTTTGTCTTTGACATCTTCTGCCATTCAAGAAAAAACCAGAGCAAGCACCGATTGACAAAATACAACTAAAACAGAACTGCTTGTGAAGAAAATAGAGTTTTAGAATACCACACACAAACACTTGCGGGCGCAGCATTAGCCTACGTCACTCAACGGGAGCCCGCATCTGGTTTACGTACGGCGCATGTGCAACGCAACAGCAAAGCTTTAAGTTGTGCTAACTCTCCTAGTAAAGAGCACCACTGAGTACCCGTGCCGCTGCCTTTAGTGCCAGTGCCCTTAGCGCCTTAAGTTGGGCACGCCAAAGGACCCTCTCTCTGGCAAGCGAAAATCGCCGTGCTCATCACATCTACACCCTACCAAGGTAAAAAAAAAGCAACACTTCCACGGTGTTTCCGGCACAACATCGTGCACATAGCATTGCAGTATAACTGATGAGATTACTGCTTTGGCTTTTTGCAGGTCTGCTTATTTACCTTTCGAGTTTTCCCAGAGCTTTCTTAAATTCAGCATTACTTTTTCTCACAGGAACCGCCTTCAACTATCTGCCAATAATAATGAGTGGGTTTTACCGTCCAAAAACTTGATATGATTATGAAGGACACCGTAGGGAAGGGCTCCAGAAATTTTGGCCACCTGGTGTTCCTTAACATGCATTGACATTGTTGTTGTTGTTGTTGTCTTTATTTCAGACAAATGTATGTCTCGGATACAAGGGCAAAAGCAGATGTCCTCTGCCTGACGGGACCCAAGTACCCGAAAGCACCACTCAGAGCATGTTCAAAGAAATACAATATAACACACTGATAATGCATGCATAACATTGTTTTTGTACAGAGTAAATGGAGTACATACTTGTACAGTAATAAAGAAAGAGTCATAACACTACAAATAACGAAACCAGAGAAACATATGACTGCTATATACAGAACTTATCAGTCTTGAGGACAGGATAGAAGGTAAGCTTTGATATATTTTTTGAAAGATTTCAGAGACAAAAATTTCTGCGTGATTTCTATAACCTGAGTATGTTTGTTGAGAAGACTGGGAATTAAATATGTAAGTGCTTGCGTTCCATAGGTGGTTCGGACAAATGAAATTCTATAATGGTCGTATCTTAATTCATAAGGGACGTGACTTTTCACTCACAGTGGACAGGACTTTAGAACACAGTGTTCTAAAAAGTATGAACCTGTGTGATCGTTGTATGATAGGTTTTCTACATATCGTATTGCTTTCTTCTGCAATTTTATTAGCCTAACAAGATTATTTTTAGATGTAGACCCCCAATCGCTTTTCATCTATATTAGAAAGTATTTTTTCTTTTACGCTGAGTAGTGCCATCTCCGTTGACTTCCCTTGACGAAACCCGAACTGCTCTTTCACAAGAACTTGTCTACTGTCAAAAAATTTACATAGTCTATCTTTTATCAAGTATTCTAACAGTTTAGAAAACAAAGGTAGGACAGATATAGGTCTGTAAATAGAGATGTTGTCATAAGGCCTACCTTTGTGCAAAACAACCACTCTTGCAATTTTCATACTGTCTGGAAAAACACCCTGATCTAAAGCATCATTACACATGTGCTGTAGTGGGGCACTGATTAAATCGGCAACAGCGATAATTGGTTCAGCCTTAATTTCATCTGCTCCTGCGGCAGTACCTTTATCTAAATTACTCAGGAAAGTGAACACTTCATGATCACTGCACGGTTTTAAATATATGGTACTGACGACTGAAGCAGCCATGTACCCATTAATATCATGCTTTCTATCTTCATTGTGTGACCATTCTCCAGAATATAGGAAGTGCCCATTAAATTTGTCTGCCAAAGCACCGCCACTGTATTCGACATTATCGAGTGTTAGTTCACTAGGGACTAGCGACATGACAGGTAACCTTGCCCAATAATTCGTGGAGACAATTCCTGATTTTCTTTGGACAGTTTTAGACTGCGGCAAATTTATTCTTGTAATATTCTTTCTGGGCTTTTTTAATGTCAGAGCCTAACTTGTTTCTAATTTTTTTATATTCATTAAGTAAAACTGGGTCTTTTACTTCAATAAATTTGTGAAACAGTTTATCACGTGCCTGAATTCGTTTGTATAACTCCCTTGTTACCCATGGCTTTCGAGACTTTTTGTTAGTTTTTTTCACCAATAAAGGAAATGCGCTATCATATTTGTCTTTTACTAACTCAACAAAGATATCGTACGCAATACTAGGGTTTTTTTAGTTGCACAGTACATGGGCCTCTACCATTTCACCTTCAATGAAATGCGACCATCATAGCCGGGATCGAACCCGAGACCTTCATGTCAGCAGCCAATGCTCCTTGGCTACTGATCCACCTAGACGAACTAGGCTAACTGCTCGGCCACACAATTGGCCTAGCCTCAAGTGTGCTGCACACCTTTACCAGGCGACAATGAAACTGTGCTTCACTGCCATTCACTCCCAAATCATGCGGCCTCCCTTCAAGAGTGCAGTGCAGATGCCAAGAAAACTTTGCACACTATCTTGTCAAACCTGCACATACGGTATCATAAAAATAAGCCATTGTAATCGTACAGCAAGCTACCGCATGCTTTTATTAGTTGACAAGAGAAAATGCACTTCACATCTGTGTGCTGTTATTTCCTCGTGCGAAACCACTCCAGTGTCGCTGAGACGCGTCGCGTGGAGGAAGCTGGTGTGTCGCTACATCAATGCAACAATGTACTCGCCTCACACATGCACGGTATGGCACGTAACTGTACAAACCACAGAAAATGTGCGCTTACGTGACCGCACGCAGCAGTGTGTACATGAAAGCTGTAGTGAACAGAACATACTATGCACAACAAAGAACTGAGAGAGAGCCCCGTTACGAATGTACTAGATAGTTTTCGCTAAGTGAGATTACAGCACCATAAAACACCGCCAAGTGAGCGTATAGCATGCTCGGGACACAGTAGCACATTTTTAGACAGTCACACCTATTTACAACCCAGGAAAGATCATGGGTGCACCAAGGGAGAAAGGGAATAGAAGCACACTTGTGCCTATTGATTCGTTCAGTGAATGCCTTTCTTTGTTAGTATTAAGTCAGCTTTTCTTGCCCACTGAAGCTGACATGGGCATCTAAATTCTTGCTGTTGAGGTTGTTTTGGAGCAGTTTGGCACAATTTTTTTAGTTTTCATGTTTTTGGAAAAGCTCAGAGCACAAAAAGAGTATTTCATAAAAAAAAGTGCGCAATATGCTCAAATACCTCATTCCTGAATACCTCACCAACACATGTACAGCTTAGCACCAATATTATTTGTAGTTTTTCAATAATGAATCACTCCTGATGATGGATCACCCACCCTTTACTTCTAGAGAAAAACACCCGGACATGCAGACATTGAAGTATTACTCACTTCACGAGCCCAGTCATATTAAGCAACCGCTTGAAGTCCAGGCGAATGTTCTTGGCCCGACACAGTTCCATGTGACTAACGCATTCCAGCAACGAAGCACCCTGCAGTATTGCGAATGGCAACTTGTTATGGGAAGAAACCGTTAGGATGAGCAATTGATAAACTAGTTTCAAAAGCTAATAGCGAATTTCAAGGGCGATTGAGCATACCACTCCGAAACAGAACTGGAAGGAGCAAATATATGTGCAAGGTGACCGAAGAAAAGTTGTAAACATGGGCATACTTGAGAAAAGAATGAGTTAATAAAATTTAAAGGCAATCATTATTACAACATAGTGGAACAGAAAACTTCAAGTATGATGAATTTCTGTTTATTCAACACAAATTCAATTAACAGAAGTGCCCGTACTGTATCTCACAAGCGTTTGTGCTTCTAACTAAACGACTGCTGAGCATTAGGTATACTCAGCCCCCCTTAACGTTGGTCACTGAGAGCCTTTTCAAGAAAATGTGCAACCACCCACAAACGTGTGAAGCCAGCGCACCATGCAGGCAGGAGATAGCTGTGGTAAAGTAGAAACACAACCTGAAAAAGGTGGCCCATAAGCGTGGCATAGCAGTCGTGATCACTGCAGCATATAGACTGTTTAAGCTTTGCAAAAATACGAACCCAACAGCAAGGAAATAACAAGTTTGCAGCACAAAGCACAGGCGACCCTTGGTAGTGATTGCAAAACGGTAAGTGTACGAAACTTTTTTAATTAAAGGGACCAACAACTGACTTTTTTGACCCTGTCTTTTTTGGGGCAAAAGATAATTTACCCTTCAAATTGTTAGACAGATATGTGGGGTTTAACGTCCCAAAACCACCATATGATTATGAGAGACGCCGTAGTGGAGGGCTCCGGAAATTTCGACCACCTGGGGTTCTTTAACGTTCACCCAAATCTGAGCACACGGGCCTACAACATTTCCGCCTCCATCAGAAATGCAGCTGCCGCAGCCGGGATTCGAACCCAAGACCTGCGGGTCAGCAGCAGAGTACCTTAGCCACAAGACCACCGCGGCGGGGCCTTCAAATTGTTCAAAACTCCAATAGCTAATTGTTGTGTCAGGCATTTCATGACCTCCGATCAGTCTCTGTTTCGATGAGATGTGTCGCATGGTGCCACGCAACAGCAATATTGTGAATCATTGCTACGCGCCAATGTACGCTCTCTGAATAAACAGTCCCCTTCCGCTTCTCTGCTTAGCGTGACATTCTTCACAGCGCTCCGGCGCTAAAGCGCTCATTGTCTCTGTCAAAGGATGCCCCGGCTGCGATAGTATAAACTGACAATGAGATGTACAAGAAGTAAGCCTCTCTTGTACTTCGTCGGCATCCTCCGCCGATTTTCTACACAGATTGCCATCTTTTCGGACGCATTTACAGGGCACCGCTTCACTTGCACGCTGCAAATACATTAGGCCTACTGCGCTACTACAGCCACCTCTGCACGTTTGGCCAATACTTGCTGGCACCAGTGACTCGTCGACGCATACTGGCGACTGCGACTCCTCAGTGCCTCAACGTTCCAGCAGACTTCCGCGATTGCTCCGGGCACTTCTCCCGTGCCTTGGGCTAAATGGACGCCATGTATTTCAGGCATATGTCAACCAGGCCACCGTAGGCACCGCCCGGCTCGCTCTCAAGAATAGTCTACTATGTAATGCACTCGGAGTTGAGGGCCTTGTCTACTGGACACTACCAAATACCCAGGACCAGGCAGAAAGTGGAGACAGGACTCTGAACGAAAGCACGCAGGATCATACATTGCAGCACTCCCACTACCGGAGAACCATTTCAAGGCTCCAAGCAATGAAGTTTTAAAGCGTCATTACTTCAAAATGTGCAAGCAAATGCCAGCGGAATCAGTTACTGACTATGTTTCTGCATTATAGGCAATGGTGAGCAAATGTAACTTCGGCCCCTCCGCCGATCCCATGGTCCACAATCAGCTGTTCAGTGGAATAACCGCGCAAAATATGCGAAGACGACTCTTGCAACATGGTCCAACCCTTACTTTTATAGAAAGCAATTCAAATTACGAAGAAAGTGGAGCGTACCAAACTCGAAATGCAAGATTTTACGAATGCACAAGTTGAGAAGATCGGATTATATCCAGGTCCACAAGAAGGCCGCCAAAAACAAAAGTATGGCTGATGGCCTCCTCGACAGAGCTCCCCACCAGGACGGACCACACCAATCTGAATCGGGTGTCTACTATAGATGCGATGTGATCTCATGAACAATACACGAAGTTTCCTAATTGTCCAGCCCGCAACCGCACTTGTTCTGCCTGAGGAAAACGAGGTCACTACCGAGCTGTGTGCCGCTCATCAAACGTCAGCATGTCTCGACAGAACTTGACTGAAGTACAAGGTACTGCTGTGACAAACACAGTAACAATCCTAAACATTGTTGTACGCTCCAGCGGTCCTTCGTCGCTGAAGATTACTGTTCTAGTTGGTCAAGTCAACATTCCTTTCCTCGTTTACACTGGTGCGACCTGTATCATTGCTTAACATACAAGATATCAAGAAATACTTTTCAGGGACCAGACTACTTCACCCATACGTTGTTCTTCAGGGCTATTCGAAGACATGCCTTCCCAACCTCGGATACTTCTCTACAAACGTTCGGTACATTGATACCTGATTGTTTTGTAAATGAGAGCGCACTATTTAGATGCGGACAGAAAGACAGGGACAAGCACTTTTCCCTGTCTTTCTGTTTGCGTCTAAGTAGTGCGCTCTCATTTTCAAAACAATCTTGTATCACCAACTCGCCCAATCAACCATATTGACAATGATACCACTGCTGCTGTCACATTTTACATGACAAAAGAGGATTGTTCACTTCACGGGTTGGATGCCATTCGTAGCTTCCACATAACCATCGACAGTGCAACCATTTCCTGCTCACAAGTTTCAGGTTCAGAAACCCTAAGAATACCTGCCAATGCACCTTCTCAATTTCATCACTTCTTTACTTAGGATCTCAGACTGGTGAAAGGCTACATACACAAGGTGAAATACCATCCAGGTGTGCAGCCAGTCGCTGCCAAACTTCACAGATTGCCATTCCTGCTTCGACAACAAGTCTCTGATAAACTTTCTCGTCTTGAAAAAGCAGGCGTCATCGAACGAGTTTCAGCATCAGAATGGGTCTCTCCACTGGTCGTGGTGAAGAAAAAAAAACTGTTTCATAAGACGTTGTGTGGACTTGTGTTAACCAAACAAAGCTATCGTGGTTGATGGGTTTCCCCTACCCTACATCTAAAATCTTCTCCAGCGACTTACAGGTACTATTTACTTTTCAAAGCTAGATTTTGCATCACCGTACCATCAGGTTAACTTTTCAGAATCAAGTAAAGACTTAACTACCTTTGTAACACATGATGGTTTATTCAGATTCCGTAGAGTTTGCTTGAGGTTTGCATCTGCCCGTGCAGCTTTTTAGAAAATGACAACAGACATCTTGAAAGATTGCTCTGAAGTACTGTACTACTTTGATGACACTTTGGTTTGGGGTCGAACGCGTGCTGAGCATGATCCTAATTTACAAGTTGTACTAAGACGCATAAGCAACACAAGAACGAAACCGAACGACAAATGCGCCTTTGCCGTCAAGCAATTAAATTCAATATTTAGGACACAATGTCAGTGCCAAGGGATTGTCCCCTTTTGAATCAAAAGTGAATGCCATCATTCATGCACCTGCACCTGCAGATTGTAAAACCTTGCATTCATTTCTTGGTCTCGCTGCCTACTACTAAAAGCTCATTCCACATTCTGCTGATGTTTTTGAACCACTGCATTCCATGCTGCGTAAAGGCCAAACATTCAATTGGTCCAAGGAAACTGATTCGGCTTTCAACAATATCAAAGAACTACTAGCTGCAAACCCAGTCATTCAACTCTTTGACGAGAAGCTTCCAGTAGTCATTGCGACTGATGCGTCCAAAATAGGATTGGGTGCCATGTTTCAACAACTCAAGGGTGACCTGTTATTTACAATCGCTTTTGCTTTGAGAACTTTGTCGCCTGCTGAACGCAGATACTTTGCTGGTGAGCGTGAAGCCCTAGCCTGCCTGATTGCTTGTGAGAAATGGCATGTGTGCTTATGGGGTAGACATTTTACATTACACAATGATCATCAAGCTCTTGTTAAATTACTTTCTGCTGGAACAGAAGGCCGACGTCCATTACGCATTTCACGCTGGTGAGCCAGATTGTTACACTACAACTTCATTGTACGGTACTGCAAGGGTTCACATAACGTTGTGGCGGACACACTTTTTCATTTACCTTTACAGCTTCCAATCCGTCCAGAATTAGAAGAAGAAATAGTCTCGCTCATTACTCTTTGCATGAGTAAAGCTGACCTACAGGCAGCAACTGCTGAAGATGCTGCATTGCAACATGTGCTTGCATTCATTGCTAATGACTGGCCACATAAGAAATCTCTGCCACCATAATTACTACCCTACTTTGCGGTCATATTGGAGCTATCCTGTGTAGAAAACTTAGCTTTCCATGCAGATAAAGTCATCATTCCTGCATCAATGTGTGACAGACTTGTGCAACTCATTGTGCAACTCACACGGCAACGGCTAAGTTGAATGTTTCAACAGAGTTCTGAAAGAGCAAATTCAGCTCGTTCAACTTAAATGTCGCCCACTGAAACATGCTGTTACATAGTACATAGTATGTATCACTTTACCCCTCAAGCTACTACAGGATTTTCACCTGCACAACTTTTGCATAATCACCAAGTGCGTTCTGGAATTGACATTGCAGTGTTACACCCGAAATCTTCCACTTCTTTGCTATCATTGGATCCTGTAGATCACGAGTATTCAATAAGCAACAGACAACTAAGCAACGCATTGATATAAAGCGCGGAGCTAAACCTCCAAACTACAGGTGGGCTACTGGGTTAAAATTCACCTTCAAGCAAGCAGATTTCGTACAAAAGTCCATATAAAATTACTAGTACACCTGAATTTAATTAATTCCACCAGGGTGATGGCAACGTATAGAATGCTTCAAAGCTCAT